ATTTGTGCTGATAAAGAAATAGACTAGTATAGATCTATTTCAAGCTATTTAGCTCTCATCAGCTAGCCACACCCTCACTGGGATTCGAACCCGGGCTGCCTAACATGTAAAAACAGCCGAGGTTCGAATCCCAGTGAGGGTATGGCTAGCTGATGAGAGCTAAACAGCTTGAAATAGATCTATACTAGTCTATTTCTTTATCAGCACAAATGCAACACACACACACACACACACAGATACATGCAGATGAAGATTTTTTTGAGATTCTGTGTGCCAGAGGAATTATTGAGTCTGTCATCTGCACCACTATAACTGTCTGGTTTGGTTCTGCAACCCAACAAGACAGACACAGACTTCAACGGATAATTAGAACTGCAGAAAAAACAATGGCCTTCCCTTGAGGACCTGTCCACTGCACGAGTCAAAAAGAGGGCTGTGAAAATATCTACAGACCCCTCGCATCCTGGACATAAATGGTTTCAACTAGACACAAGAACAGTTTTCCCCGAACACCATTACTCTGCTAAACAAATAATTCCCTCAATAATCAAACTGTTTACTAAGTCTGCATTACTATTATTATTAATCTTCTCATCGTTCCTATCACCCATCTCCTCCCACTTATGACTGAATGACTGTAACTTTGTTGCTCGTATCCTTATGATTTATATTGTTTCCTACTATGATTTGATTGCTTATTTGTACCCCTTAACTATCACTAAGTGTTGTACCTTATGGTTTATGACAAATGTATCTTTTCTTTTACGTACACTGAGAGCATAGGCACCAAAGACAAATTCCTTGTGTGTCCCATCACACCTGGCCAATAAAGAATTCTATTCTATTCTATTCTATTCTATTCTATTCTATTCTGTTCTGTTCTATTCTATTCTGTATTCCTGTGCACGAAAAAAGCCCCAATATTTTCATTTTCATTTTTGCATTTAAGAAAAACCGTGGGATGGAGGAAGATAGAGTCAAAAAAAGTTACATGCTCTCTGTTTTTATTATGTTTTATTTGAGGTGGAATATGTGAAGAATTTGAGAATTCTTTATGCCGTATGCATTGTCTTGGTTTTCCAATTAATTTCTAGAAGAGTGAATGTTTCTAAACAGCCTCTTGCAATCCATGTTCTTAACTCTTTTCTGAAATTCTCCGTTTTCTTTTTCCACCCATTTCTTCAGCTCCAGGTCTTCTTTTATTTACGTTCGACTTACTGGCTTGTGATTGCAATTGCAGAACACATTAAACATTGTAACTCCAAGCTTCGTTTACCAAAACATCCCAAATGCTATTGCATTTCCACCATGTAATCTCATCATGTGGGTTTGCACAACAAAAAGAACCACAGTGAAACAACACAAGGTTAAAAATTACTCATGTTTGGCCTGTTGTAAAAAACACCTTTGCTTGTGTCTTACCTGAATTGTCTAGGTAAGTGTTAACTCAGTAGGTTAAATCATCCTCATTTATTCTCACATCTCTTCCAGGCAAGGCAAAATGATTAGCAAGGATTTGTCTTGCAAGCCAAATGCAGCATTTAATCTGCATTCATATTATATGCAAAGCAGGAGTGGGTTTCAAAAATTGTTCGAACCTTCTCTGTGGGCGTGGCCTCATTTTGGGAGTGGCTTGCCACCCATGTGACCAGATGGGAGTGGCTTGTCACCCATGTGACCAGATGGGAGTGGCT